GTGTGTGTCACTACATACAAATGGGCTGTCTGTCCTTTAGTTTTATTCGATTTTCTCTTCTTTCGGTAGTTTGTTTGTGGCGTCTAGTCACATCTGTTTGTCTAAAACGGCGTTGAGTAGCCTCGACCGTCTGCTGCTCGTTTCGAGTGTTTATTCTCTCTTAATTGGTGTTTGATTGTAATCTCATATACACACATTCATGTATAGATTGTGAGAGTTTTTGTTTTCAACAAATTGCTAAGACAATGCTGAGCTCGACTCATAAATGCCACACATATGCTGACATACATACACATATATATGTGAGTGCAGTCAATTATCCACTGGCGCTGCGTTGGCCTGTCAGCTGGTGTGTCACCATCGCAATCTTTGTTTACTCCTTCAATTGCTTAGCCATGTACTCTTATCACAAAGTCACACTCACACTCGCACTGCTTCAAGCCACACTTCCTTCTTCGGTTAGCCTTTCGAGCATTTAATTCATATGCTTTTATTTAAGATTGGTTCCAGCATTGTTTTCAACACTTGCGGCTCCGATACGCCATTTGGTCGCCACACTTTCAAAGTCGTTTTTCGCTTATCTTATTTTTTTTTTTTTTTTATTTCCTCTGCACACTATTTATTCTTGAGTTGGGTACTTTTTATCCGTTTGCTCTAATTGAAATACAACGCTGCTTCCATTTTATACCCAAACAAGTGTGCTCTTGAAATCTTCTAAGTACGTGTAATAAACATGTCAAAGGCCAACTGTTGTCTGGCACAACTTTGGGGGTAAAGAAATAAAATTTTAAATGCCTACAAATTATAATTTAAATAGATGTCAAATTCTAATCAGTTGCTAGGCTTACCAACAGGGTATGAGTGGGTAGGTTAAGCGAGAACTACAGATATTATGTCACTAGTTTACACAAGTTAAGAGGCGATGTAAAACTGTAGGCTGTATAAGTGGAACTATTAGTGGACTCTTCGTTCTAGACGATCTTAGAAGAATAGAGCATGTTTTTATGATTTCCTGGAGATTAAGTGGGCATAAAGTGTTTATATATGGGGTTTTCCAAAATTGTTTCAAGACTAAGTCGATTCCTCCAACAGCATACCAAATATAAGGCAAAAGATCGCTCATGTAAAGAAATATTTTATGATCTCAAAAAGTTATTAATTCTACAAATATGCTCAATAGACCCAAGAAAGTCCTTGCCATTCTAACCTTCTGTCTTAAAACTTTCATTGAATATCGGGTCAATGATTATAGAAAGATTTTCATATTTATGTTACTATTGAAACCATTCGGTTATTTATTTTTGGAAACAGTTCTTTCATTAAGGAGTTCTTAGATAAGAAAATGTTTTGAAATGATTAATGATATGAAAGTTTGTTAAATATGTTTCGATGTTAGATGCTTGGTTTTGACATCTTCAGATTGCTAATAAATTCTCCAAAGATGTTACAACTATCTTTCTCTTCCAAATAAATAACTGTCTGAATTTTTCTCTACCATAAATTATAATATTTAAAGTCAGATTTTGAAATTTCCCCTTGAAACCCTCACCATGGAAGCATATATGCTTAATAATGGCTCTCTTCTCTCTACTTGATAACAAGAGTCCAAGGGTTAAGTTCTTGAAAAAGCCATAAATTCTGAAATGACATAAATAACTACATTTCCAATGACGTACGAGTACTTTCCCGCTCTCTGCTTATTAATTGTACTCATAAATGTAGGAAAATTAACATTTTGATATTGATTACGTCTTATGAGCACTTCAGAGAATATTATTTCGATATACATAATTGGTTTTTGTAATGCATGCCATTGTTATGGATTCACAGTAAAAAGCGATAAATCACAGTTTAATATTTATATTTATTTCCGCATTAAATCAAAAGACATTTTTATGATCGCTTGCTACTTGAAAGGACTGAGGCAAAACAAACAACAGTTGGGTCTGGCGCGGCTGATAAGAGCATGAGCTAAAACTGAAACAGTAGCGTTATCTCACACACACTTACGTGCCATGGAGTTTATTTTGTATATGTATATATATATTTAAATATTGCGGTATATTGATTGCTGGCACCAAGTGGGTAATCAATCATTATCGCCAAACCGCAGTCTAAATTAGAACAAATGTTTGCCTTCACTTTTGGCTGCTTCTGTTTCGGCTTTCGCTGTGCATTAGTCACAAAAACAAAAATTATCAGTGGAGTAACATAATCGAGTGGCAAATATTTACAGTTTGACTGGCGATAAGCAGCTGGGAAAATTAAATCTCCGCTCAAGTCAAGTCACAGAGTTGAGGGAAAGGGAAAGAAGGCAGCATAATTTGTACGTAAGTGTTGATATTGGAAAAAGTTGAATTGAGTTTGAAGTTAAGTACTGAAATGGAAGTTGATATAAGTCTGTGGCAATAAATGATTACTGTGGTAAATATAGACAGAAAGTGTTATTGATTGCTTTGTCTTAATAAAAGAAGTGCGATTATTGCTAATCTGTAGCTTAAAAGTCGAAAAATGAAAAAAAAAAAAAAAAAAATTTCATTCTCATATACGAAACTCAGAATTTTAATTCTTAAAATACCAAAAGCAAGTTTAAATATTTTTCTAAATTGCTCCAAGTTTAAATTTCTCAAATAAAAGCTGTTCTTTTAGATATGTGGTTTTAAATAAAATTTATATTATTTTTGTAATATTATGGTCAAGAATTTAGCTATATTATAAAGGGTTTGAAATTATGTTCTAAAAATTATTTCCAGCAAGTGACCTCCATGGCTGGCTCGATAAAATCTCCAGCCGGGAAGCTAAATTTGCGGTCACTTTTTGCATTATTATTCCATTATGGCCGTATGTCATCAATAAAGCGTCGAATATTCTCAGCCAATGCGTGGAAAGCTTCGGTCTTATCTGGGAATACGAGCGACATCACATAACCACACAAAAAGATGCGATATAACACGCTCACCAACAGTTTCCTTCAATATATTGATTGTTTCGTTGACTGTAAGGCCTGTGGCGCTGTAGAGCACACCAAATAACCACTCATTGAGGAAGTAACTGCGTCTCAACAATGTCTTCTGGATTAAATATTATCACTTCTAATGGGACAATTTTGTTTATTAACGTACCAAATCAAGCAAAAATGCTGCTAAAAAGACTAACTTGGAAAAAGTCGATTTTGATAGGAACCGATTCTTACAACTTTTTTAACTACTTGTAACAGTCCAAACACTGAACCCAATTTTTTGGCCGAAACTGCTGCAATTTTACGTTCGATAATCGAAATAATATACAATAAAACGGTTTCAGGCATTTGGTTAACATTGAATCGGTCACCGATATTTAAAGTAAATAAAACAAGAAAGGAAGGGCTAAGTTCGGGTGTCACCGAACATTTTATACTCTTGCATGATAA